TGGTACCAGGGATCGAACTCGTGTCCTTCCGCTTGTGAGGCAAGCAGTGGAACCACTGAGCTAAATCCCTGGCCCAAGGAAAATATTCTTTAACAACAAATAAAGCTTTATAAATCTATGACTATTATAAAAAATGAAAACCCAGCCACAGTTTTCCTTCAACTGGATACATTGCCATCTATTTTTTTTTTTTTGCCATCTATTATTTTTGTTTATGATCTTTCAGCCAGTTCCCAATCCCTGTGACTCTGCTCTCATCCAAGGTAATTATAATTAATTTGTGAGTAAAAGTACTTGATCCACTGTTTCAAATGCTTCACTGAAGATTGAATACATGACGTCGATGTATCCTCTTCATCCAATTAGTTTTGTAACTCTGTCAAACAAGCCCATTATTATGGTCTGGCATGCTGTGTTCATTATGGACCAAGTTGCTGAGGGCTCAAGATCCCATTATCTTCTAACTGCTTACAGATTGTCTTTGAGACTTTTTCCCTTACTTCATTCTACGTTGATATATTATTTGATAGTCTGCCAACATTTTACTTGTTTGGGCATATTGATGAAGAAGAAAATAATTTATAGAATCACTTTATTTTCTGCAAATCATGTTACATTTAAATGACATGTCTTGAGACTTTTAGTCTTTTTATATCGTTAAGGTATAATTTTCTTGAGAATTAAGAATTGCAGCATTATTAATTTAAGAGCAATGGCATTTTCAAAAGACTATAAAACTAGGTGAATTAGAGAAAAATGTGCTGCCTCAGAGAATTTATACAATCTGCAGATGGGTCCACTATAACTTAGATGTAAAATGAAATAATTATAGGGCATAGTGCAATAAAATGAGAAGACCCAGGGATGTCTATATGAAGTATGGTAAATTAATTCCAGCACTTGTTCTTATGTAATTAAATATAAAAATTTGAGTAGTTATAAATATTTAAATAGTTATTATAAAATTGGTTGCAAAAGTAAAATAATTCATAACTTTCAAGATTTTCTGGTGTACCAACAGATCATTCATGGTAGTTATTTATTGTGAGATTTGCAATGGCAATAATTTTAATGATATCAATTACCAAACGTACTTGTCCCATTTCCACAACATATAAAGTGTTTAATTATTCAAAGATGATCCTAAACTATACTGCTTATTCACTTAATGTTCTTCTTGGAAATCTGTTGGCATTTGCAAATTTCTTTTCCTAAAAAAATAAGTATTCATAAGGTAGTACTTTTTTTCAACCTCCAAGATTATAAAAATCTGAGAAATTGGGGAGTATCTGATTATATTTTCTTTCTATTCAGGGTAATTTAAAAGATATGTTTAAAGTGACAATTAAAGAAAGTCTTTCAAATTGACATCTGTATAGAAAATGCCTTTGCAGTTACCAAAACTATTGTTTTGAAAGTGAAAGTATATATATACTTTGTCTTATGTTGATTCAATTCAACAAGAAAACACTTTACTATGTAATGGGAGAAAGCTCTTATTTTAAAAATCTGATTAATATCTTATCAAAATCAAGGCTAAGAGCTCGCTTCTAAAAGGCTTGGCAATTTGAATTTTAGGAGACTAGTAGAAAGATTGTTAATTTCTCCTGAGGGAGGAAGTAAATGTTAGAGCATAATCAAAGTAATGAGAAAATTCGTTTAATTTTTTTAATCAAATAACTAATTTCTGGAGAATTCTGTGAAGTTATAATGAGAAACAGTAATCAGCCTTTGTAAACTTGAACATACATGATTTAAAGGCTAACTGAAGTGAAATGTTGGAACAGCATAGAAGGATAAACTGTGAGCAGTGTTTCAATAGAAAAATTAGTTGTAAAACTTTGTGTTTAAAGTTCGCACTCCTTCAATTCACTTACTGAAAATTTGTTTATTTCCTTGAAATGAGAAACACAAGCAGAAGGGTATCCCAAATCTCAAATATGATAATTATTTTCAACATTTGATAAGAACTTTTTTTTTTTTGGTACCGGGGATCGAACTCGGAACCTTGCACTTGCAAGGCAAGCGCCGGAAGCACTGTGCTAAATCCCCTGCCTGATAAAACTCTTACTTTTCAAAACTTTTTTATTTCTCCTTTAAACACATGTAACAAATATTTCCCACCAAAAGTATGAAGAGCTCTGTGTTGTATTCACAATAACGAGTGTGTCACACTGACTGCAAGGCAGCAC